TTTCTTATACTGTAGGCCTGTGGGTGAAAGATTCTCTTCACTGAAGATGCTTTTATTCCACTTGTTCTTTTGATGGATATTTTCTCTGTATATGAAATGCTAGGTTGAGAAATTTTTCCTCCACACTTTAAAAATGTCATTCTTTTATCCTCTGGTTTATGTTGTTTCTGACGAGAAGTCAGAGATCATTCGGATTGTTACTCTATATTTAATGTGTCTTTTTTGTCTGAGTGATTTTAAATATATCTGTGTTACTGTTTTTTAGCAATTTGATTATGGTGTATAGTTTTCTTTGTGCTTATCCTGTTTGAGGTTCATTGCGTTTCTTGGTTCAGTGTTTTTTTTTTTTAAGATTTTATTTATTCATGAGAGACATATAGAGAGACAGAGACACAGGCAGAGCCAGAAACAGGCTCCCTGTGGGGAGCCCGATGCGGGACTCGATCCCAGGACCCCAGGATCACTCCCTAAGCCAAAGGCAGACATTCAATCACTGAGCCACCCAGGTGTCCCTTTATTTACGTGTTAAACTGGTAATGAAGCTTTATTCAGTTTATCAGCTCTGTTTTCCTTTGAAGCTTCAATTTGGATAGTTTCTAGTATCTTGTCTTTAAGTTGGCAGATCTTTTTCTTTTCTAGTATGCAATCTGTTTTATTAAAAAAATCCATCAAGTGAATTTTTCATTTCAGCTATCCTATTTTTCATCTCTTTAATTTCCATTTGGTTCCTTTTTATAGCATTTCTTTTTTTCATTATGTTCATATTATCCTTTAAATCTTTGAGCATATTTATGAAAGCTGTTTTAAGGTCCTTCTCAGCAGATCCTATCATCTCTGTCATTTCTGTATGTTTCTGTTCATTGGTATTTTCCTTTTGATTATTAGTCATATTTTCCTGCTTCACCTCACAGGTAGTTTTTTTATTCTGTGCTGCACATTTTGATGTTTTGTTGAGCATCTGGATTTTGTTATCTTCCTTTGAAAAGTGTTGAATTTTGTTAGAGCAGGCAGTTAATTTACTTACAAATCAGCTTCATACTTCAGAGGCTTGTCTTTAAACTGTTAGGGCAGGTCTAAAGCCGTTCTTATTCTAGGGTTAGAGTAATCCTTCTAAGGCCTTGCCTTTCTGGGTCTAAACTAAACACTTGAGGTGTTTAATAAGGTCTGTCTTCTCTGGCAGATGGGAACTCAGACATCTCCTAATCTTGTAAGACTTCTGAATCCTTGCTTAGCTCACAGTCCCTGGTAGCAGTTACCTGCCAGACTTTTCAGAGGCTCCTTCTGAACAAATCAGGTTGACAGCCAGGCAAAGACTTTGAGGGGTCCCTCTGACTATTTTTGGAGTTGTTTTCCCCCCCTAAAATTCCTTCCTCTTTGTGATTCTGCCCTGCTATTTCCAGCCACCACAGCAGCCCTGAACTCTGACCATTGTCTCCTCCATTCAGCCAGACTGCTGTGCCTTCTTTGGGTCTCACCCCTGGGCCATGATCCAGATGGTCTCCAGGCAGAGACCAGAGTGATCTCACATTGGGTCTTCTTTGTGAATCACAGCGGCCTACTGTTCAAAGTCTGAAAACTGTTGTTCTGTGTGTTTTGTCCAGCTTTACAGTTGAATCTGGAAAAGGGCTGATTCCCTCACCAGATATTCAATGATGGCCAGAAGTATAAGTTCCCCAGTTCTCTTCCTAAGATGAAAATCCACGAGGAGGCATTCCCAAATTAGACTCCCCTGGTGCCACAGCTCCTGTGCGTTCTCACCTCCAGCCTTTGGGCACGCTATTCCCATTGCCCAAAGGAGTCTTCATCCTTCTCTGCATGGTAAGGGCTTCAGGGAGACCCCCTGGTGTCTCTATGCTCTCAGCTGCGTGGTTGCTTTCCTCAAATCCTTATGTTCTCTGAATTGTTTTGCTCCTGTTGAATTTTCAGCTTTACAGAAGGGAGAGACCCCAGTGCTCTCTTATTTTTAAATATCTCTTGGATGGAAACATCTCCTCTGTGTTCTTTATTAGGGCAGTCAGCCGGTCTGTCTGAAACTCTTTCTTCTTTTCCCAGTGAGAGCTCGGATAGGAATTCTAGCCTGATAACATTCCACATGAGAAGGTCAACAGGTGGAGAAGCCATTGAGTGAAAGGAGTTAGGAGTCTGGAAAGTTCATCCTGCCCAGTCCCTACCTGCTCTGTGACCCCGGAGAGGCTCCTATACCTCTCTGAGTTCTGACTACATGTCTGCCTTAGGTATACCTCCGGGGCTCATGGAAGGGTGACACATGAGATGGCTTCAAATGTCCCCTCTCGGGCATCCCATCTTTGATGTGCTCTGTTTAAGTGGTCCTGAGTTTTGTTCTTCTGGCCATTCATGCACTGATGCTCTGATTCCACAACATCTCTGGAGCACTTGCTTTGTGTCGGGGAATGTGCCAGGTCCTGAGTGTGTGGTTGGCCTAACTGGCAGAGGCTGCCCTCGTAGAGTGTTCAGGCTAATGGGGAAAGAGACTCCAGTCTAAAGATCACACCATGTGTCATCATGGGTAGTGATCAGTTCTTGGAAGGGAAGAGGAGAGGGGAGGGAAAGATAAATGACCAGGTGAGATGTCGGGGAGTTAACAGAGGAAGTGATGCTTCAGTGGAGGAATGTTGGACCAGTACTAGTTACCCAGGCAAAAAGGAGGTTAGATCATTCCAGCAGAAGAAATAACATGTATAGAGCCCACATGGCTTGGAAGAGAGAGGGCGTTACAGAATGGGAAAGGCAGGAATTGAGCAGGTGCCTGAGTATTTCTTGTACCGTGTGCTTCGTGCGTGTTCGAACTCCCTGCCACAGCGAAGGAGGGACTTTCACACAAATGCCTGGATTTTGACATCAGGAACAGTAGACCCTGGAAAGAGCTGATCCGGACAGTGTCCTAGAAACCATCCTTCAGGGTAGAGTCTGGGGCTTAAGAAAGCAAACCACATGCTCAGGGTATTGCTCAGAGATTCTCTGTCCCTTATGCCCAGGTTCCCGGGATGTGGGGGTTGATGCCACATGGCCTTGTGTAGCGGCTCCCTTCAGTAGCTGGCAAGCTCGAGCTCTTGTCTCATCCGGACATGGATTTTCCATGTGGCTCTAACCTTACTGATCGTTCTAGGCCTCGGTTTCCTTATCTGTAGAAAGAACCAGTCATAGCCGCTTACATGTGAAGAGCTGTGTACCATTCAGGGTACTTGCTGTGCTCTTGTGTGTTCTGGGTTCCCACAGAATCCCCTTGAGGCTGGTCGCAGAGGTGGGTGTCCTACTTTGATGGGTGGACAGGACAAAAGGGGTGTGGGGGGTAGTAACTAAGGTCAAGAGAGGGGAGGTAAGGAGGCAAGACCACAGAGACCAAAGGTGAAAGACCTGGCACCCAGAGGTGGCTTCACCTTGCTCCACACTTGGTCCCCAAACTGTGCTTCAGGGAGGTAGTGGGGGAACCCTGAGATAGAAGCCCGGACAAGTGCCACGGAGTTGGATGTGTAGGTGGTACCGTGGCTGAAAACACTTGGATATTGGGAGACAAGCTGCCCTTTTGATTGGACTCCAGGGACCTCCAAAGTTCTTGGCTCCAAACAGGAGAGGGGGCAGGGAGGGAACATACAGAAGTGTTCTTCCCCACCAGACCTCTCCAGTTTCTGAGGAAGAAAGCCAGAGTCCAGAGAACAGGAGTGGAGACAGTGAGGGACACCTGTATCCTCTGCGGACTGCTGCGCTGGGGGCTCCTCCTGGGGCTGGGGGTGGGGCGCGGGCTGGCTCATGGCGGCTGTGACCCGAGTGTCCCCAAGCTCCTGGCATCTGGCCTCCACTGTGAATGGGGGGGTGACCCTCCCTGGGGACGGGGGCAGCCGAGTCCTCTGAGCACATCTCCGTGTCTCAGGCTGGTGAAGCGAGCGCTGAAGAGCCCCGCTTCCTGCTTCTCTGGGCCTGGGCTTCCTCATTGGTGCCCCGAATGGCCAGAGGTGGAGGATCAGGAGGTGCCTTTTTATTTCTTGGCTCTGCAAGCCATGGGTGGGTGTCTGATGCCCAGGATGGACGCCGTCCTGGGACCAGGGATATAAGGAGGCCCCTCTTCCTCCCCCAGAGGCAGGGGAGCAGCGGCAGCGTCCTGGACCCTGGGTGACGTGGGTGCCCTCGAGATGGTACCAGTTCCTGAGATCCATGAGCCCCCGGGCAGCACTGAAGGGGCCCCTTCCCACATGGCCTAGTCCCCTTCTCGCCTTTGGGGGGAGTTGCAGTTGAGCCAGAAGACTGCTGGCCCCTCCTGTTCTGTGTTGAACGTGGGAGTGCGGCCAGGTTCAGGGCTGGGCCACCAGGGGAGTTGAGGGGCTTGGGTGTAAAGGAGGCGGACTGCTGGCCACCCGGAACCGCCAGAGGTGGAGACCACCTGGGTGTCAGCCCCCAGTGACTCCGGCTTCTGCAGAGGACTCGGGAGGGAGAAAGGTGACCCATCAGCTCCCCGGGAGCCACAGAGCCCCCTCCCCTAAAACCCCAGGGCAACATTGAGCCCCTTGCTTCCCCCCACTGCCACCAATGAACTCCAGCACGTCCTTGCCTGGCTGCTGTCATTAATTATGAGCCAGCAGCCAACATGCCTTGGAAGGACAAGAGGCTTCGGAGCCAACGTTCTAGAAAATGCTCTTGGGCCTGGGTTGACTGATTCAGGTGCCCAAGCACAGGTCATAGGCTGTGTTCTCAGACACTGGGAGCCTGGGCTGGTCAAGGGTGATAGGTGACCCTCCCAGGGAGCTGATCAGTGGCCTCTGGGAAACTCTGAGCCTTAGCTGACAATCAGGCTTCGCTTGAGGAGAAGCTGGGGAAGGTTCTAGAATGCTGGACTTTCTTAGGCTCTGAGTGGGAGCGAGAGAGCCTCTGCGTTCTGTGAACCACGAAGAGGTTTTGACCCTTGAGCATAGGGTTCTGTGGCCCAAGAGACCACTCTCTTGGCCGGCTCCGAGGGCCCACGGGGACTGAGAGCGTGACCCTCTCAGGTACCGCCCCCGGGTGGGAGCCACCGGACGATCCAGACACAGGCTCTGAGTGTTCACATCCGGAGGTCTCCCCGTCTCCACGCTTCGTGGCAGCGAAGACCCAGACGAACCAGTCGGGGAAAAAAGCTCCGGCCTCCGTGGTCCGATGCGCCACCCTCTTACACCGCACCCCTCCAGCCACCCAAACCCAGACGTTCCGCACTCCAAACTCGGGATCTCCGGCAAGCAAGGCAACCGCAGGTACCGATGGCCTATGTTACCTTCACACTTCCTCCACTCCCCGCCCCGCTTGCACCTGCCACAGCTGTGCCTGGGGTCACTGTTCCCTTACAAGAGCGAGTGGAGGTCCTGTAGCAGACTGGGACAAATCTGGGTCCCAGCCGTGCCCCTGGCTGGCTCTCACCGTGGCGAGCCACCTGACCTCTCTGAGCCTAGGTTTTTGTACCCTGAATCAGAGGGTTTGTATGGGATGGTTTGCAAACTTTTTTTTTTTTTTTTTTAAGCAGGAGAGTATTTTTTTCCCAAGTCATGGAGTTAAAAATTTTTTAAATTAACTGCCAATATTTGAGCATCAGATTTTGTATAAGACGTTTGATGTCTTGCTGACGTTGAAAATCAGACCTGGCAGTGCTGGGCCCACTTTCCTGGAGGGCAGCAGTTGGCCTGGGGCTGAGCCACAGTGGCCCCCTCGACTAGAGCCCATACTGCCCAGTATTCCGTGGTCCTCACCACTCCCTCCTGCCTCCCCAACACAGTGGCTACGTGGCAGGTGTCATTTCTCATTGTGATCACGCTGTTGTCTGTCTTGCATCCTGCCCCGTTCATTTATTTACATCACCTGCCTGGACCTTCTTGGCATGAGTTTGCATGCCCCGTCCTTCTGAAAAACCCAGTCTAAAAACTCACTTCTAGGACGAGCTGCTCCCCACGAAGCGGAAGCCCTGTTCTTTTAGCCTCCCCCTCCCTGGTACTACCTGTGATGCCCCTCCGTGGGCCCTAGCCCAGCGGGAAACCAGTGGATGCCAGCTCCAGTGTGTTCTGAGTCCATGCAGAAAGGGGCTGGGGCTCCAGGAGGTGAACAGGCAGGGAAAGGTACACAGCAGCTGATAAGACACACCGGATGCCGAGTAGCAGCTGTCGGGAATCCCGATTCATATCTGGGTGGACTGAGCCTCGGGCTGCCTGCCGGGACGTGCGGGGTGAGGGAAGAGTGATGATCTTGTCCTTCTGGGATTGTGGGCTTTTCAGTGCCCTCAAGAGGCCCAAAGCCATCAGATAAACACACAAGCGATCAAACTGAGAACTTCGTTAAGTGAACTGGTGGATTGGAACCAACCACATGGCCAAGCGATTGGTTTTGTTTGCCTTTGCTCTGTGGTTCAGGAGGCTAATTTTAGGCAAAGATTTGGTTCTTAAAAAATGTTTGAAGATAGATTTATCGTGGTTAGGTCTTCCAAGAGAGGAGTAAGTAGCCAGTCCACCTTGAAGGTAATGGATTTTCAGGTACTGCGCTGAGAAGAGCCAAGAGCTGTTGTCATTTTATGACATTTTCATGAACTAGTTGGAAGCAGACTGGTCATCGTGGGCTCAACTGAAGAATGGGATCCTGGCTTTCAAATCTTGCTTTTACCCTTGATCGTGTGGCTGGGAGTCTGTACATGGATAGTTTGTGCAGAAAACAGCCTGCAAGAGCCGTGTGGTGTGTGGCAGCTCTCGGGCCTCAGCGCCTCAGAGTTCCACATCCAGCAAGCTGTGGGACGTGCCTCTGGCTGCCTTCATGGGATCTGGAAGGCTTGTGGTGTGGGGGTCACAGGGCAGAGGGCATAGGAGGTGAGCAGGCCCCTGCGTGGCAGAGCTGGGAGTTGATCCTGCCCCCATCCCTCTAGCGGGCCGTGCCCCGCGAGAACGAGCACCTGGGTGGACATGGCACTTCCGGGGCAGCCGGGGTGCCGGTGCAGGGGTAGCTGTTCAGATTTGCATTGTCGGCTGAGCAGCAGGGGACTACACGTGGGAGTCTGTGACCTCTGTTGGGCGCATTCTACCTCTGTGTTGGGTAGGCCGCGTGGAACTCCTCTGCAGCTGGGTAAGCATCGAATGAATGTACGGGGATTAATGAAGATGGAGAAAGGAATCCCTTCCCTAGCCCAGGCCTTTTTAAAGAGACTGCATCGGCCCTGGGAGTGAACTCCTTATTGTGCCATCCGAGAGGTTAGGCATACACCCAGCCCCGGAACTGGGCATGCTCAGTCTTTTCACCTGTAGAATGGGAATGACAGTGTGGATCTCATAGCGCTGCCGGGAGGACGGTGGGAGACCACAGGTGTAAGACGTGCGGCCCATGCCTGGTACATAGGTGCTCAGTGCATGAGGGCACCCACTCCCTCTGCCAGACAGAGAATTGAGGGGCTTTCTTTGCCGATTTACAGATGGCACCTTGAGGTAGGCCCGCATGGAGGTGTCAGCCCAGGCATTTTACAGACACAATTTGGAGAGTGGGTCTTCCTTGTGATGTTACCAACAGCCTCTGCATCAGGAGGCGTCGGGCGGGGGGCGGTGTCGGAGCCCGGGCACGGAGCAGGGCCTGGAGGAGCCACCGCCTGTGGCTTCTTTTCCTGTTGCCCCATCATCGTTCAGAACCCTGGCCCCCACGGTCTGAGCACTTGGCCTTCTGACGTAGGGGGTTGCTGAGCGACAGTGGCATTTCCCAAAGTGGGTTCTGGGGAATCACCATTTTTGAGGCATCCTAAAGAATATAGTGTTTTTAAAATGGGCTTTGGTGGCTAACTATATTTAGGAAGCCTGGGTCAAACAGAGCTAAATGGGTCTCCTTCCAGTTGAGCTTCTCAGAGCCTTTGATATCTCTGTGCGGGTTGTTTCCCCGTAAAAGGGACTGGGTCGGCTGCGCACCCCAACTTGACTTGCTCCCAGAAGCCTTCATCTCCGGGAGCATCCAGTGACCCCACTGTGCCCAGAGCAACTGGGAAGAGCAGAGCTCCCTTCAAGCTGAGTCTTCTGTCTCCGGACCTTCTGCGGGTGGGAGTGGGGGTAAACTGCTCTGTGTCCTCTTGGCCGGACCCCATCTCTCACTCTGGCTTTCCAGACAGTGCCAGGAGGGGCTCTCACTCTGGCCAGAAATCACTTAAGGAACCGGCCCCTTCCCCTGGATAAACCCTGAGCAGAACTCCTCTGGCCTTTGGGCTCCCAGGCTGTGGGCCTGCCCTGGTGCTCTCGGTCGCACTGTCACCTCTCCCAGGATGCCCTCCCTGCCACCCAGGGACCAGTAGGCTTGTGGAGCTGGGATCAGCTGTCTGGCCCTCCTGCTCTGCCAGTCACCACCAGGAGACAGCCTGTCATCTTCCCTGCTCCATGGTGGAGTCTGTAGCAGCAGATTTCTGGCAGAGGGAGTAGTGGGTGGCAGGTCCAAATGACTTAGTGTCCCAAATGTGGCTCCTTAGGACCAAAGATAGGAGACCCAGGCCTGTCTGCCATCGGCCCACGCTGGGCACTGGGTGGGGGGATCTCCTGGGGCTCTGATGAGGCATCAGGCAGCTCAGGTGAGCCCGAGCGGCTGGGGGTCTGGTTTAGGGCCCCGGAGCCCCTCACCGTGCAGGTTCCTCAGCAGAAAGCCCTCGGACCGGAGGCAGTTCTGGGGTACCCTGGCCTCAGAGCCCCCCGCAGCATGCCCTTCCGCTCGGACCTCGTAGTGCTAACCAGTCACTGGTGTTTCTCGCTCTCTCCCGTCCCCACCCAGCAGAAAGCGCTTTCAGTCGGAGAGTAGAAGGCAAAGCACAAAACCACTTTGAAGAGACGAATAGCAGTTCCCAAAACTCCAGCGGTGAGTGTGCCCGGTGCCGACGCCTCCACCCACTCCTCCCCGGGGTGGCAGCAGGCAGCCCGGGCTGGGCTCCTCGTGGGGCCCGATGCTGTTCCCGGGGGGACACGGCAGGCAGGGAATCAGCAGGGGGCCAGGGCCAGAAACGGGAAGGGTGTTTCCTCCCAGGAACCTGCCCCTGGGCCTCAGCGGCATCTGGGGACTGCTGTTCTTGGTCTCTTCCCATGGAGAGAGGAACTCGCCCTCCCCGTACCCTCGGCGTTGACTCAGAAGGCCCGGGAGGAGTCCGAGAGCTAGCGCTGTTGTTGGAGTAAACGTTATGGCCAGTTCCTTTCCAGGAGAGGCAAAGGGGGTGCAGCAGAGAGAACTGTAGCCCTGAGTTCTGGCCCACTTCGGACCAGAGGCCGTCCACGAGTACGCTTGCAGCACCACCTGCCCAGGGAGCTCCGGCCGCGGTTCCCGGTGGGCGTTTGGCGCCCCCTGGCGGCTGCCCTAGAGTCCCTTAAAGCAGAGCCGCCAAAGGCCACCCTCCCCCCAGGGATCCTTGGCTAGCCTAGCAGGACCCAGGACCCGGGGTGCCTGTCCGGAAAAGGCCCGGCAGGCGGGTCCGCAGTGACACCCAGGGCAAGCTGGGAAGACCGTTCTGAATCCTGGGCTACGTGAGGGTAGGGAGCCTACCTTCTCGCACGGCTGCAGTTCAACGCGCCGGGTCGGGTGCTGGCCACCGCCTAGGCACAGACAGGCGTCCGTCCTGAAGCAGCCAGGGGCGCAGACTTGAACGCGGAGGCTTCGGCCCAGTACGCGGAGCTCCAGCTTTGACCTCTAGCCGAAGGACGAGCTCGTAACCCGGGCCAGCCTCGTCCTTTCCTCCGCCGCAAAGTGGGAATCGCGCACCCATCCCCGTGGTGGTGGACGGGCGGCAGGTGCCCCGTGGAGCTTACGCACTCCCGTGGCAGGGTGTTGTGGTGGTGGTGGCGGTCTGAAGTGAACCAAGTGCTATGTGGAGCCCCGAGGAGAACCGAGCGAGGTGTGCCGCTGGGGGGTGGGGGGCGGCGCTGAGAATGTCAGCGTAACCCCCAAAACCATAGAGAGCTTACTGGCTTTTCCAAGCTGCTCACCGTTTTGAGAAATGTAATCCCGTCTCCAAGAGGTGGCCCTAAAAGTGAGGGAGTGCCTTGGCCAAGGCCATACAGGAAGAAGTAGGGCCAGGACTGGGGCCACCATCTCCCGGGGAGCCTTCCCTCAGCCTCCAGGCTGTACCCTTTGCCTCTCCGTCCTCCAGAGCTGCTACTCGAATCGGGGAGGACAGTGTGAAGTGCTGCTGCCAGCAGCCACCATTTATTGAGCGCTTACTACGTGCCTGGCCTGTGTTCAGAGCTGTATGTGTCTTACCTGTTTTCATCCTTACCACAGCCCCGGGATATGGGGGTTGGGGGGGGTCAGTGTTACTGTGTTATCCCCATTTTCTGGATGAGGAAACTGAGGCCCAGGAGAGGTCAATCATAGCCCCCCCGGGCCCCAGCCTGTAAGAGACGGGGCCGGGACTCCGGGCCTAGTCCCTCTGGCCCTCCCCTGCCGTCTACTGCCTTTGAGGCTCACCTGACAACATCAGGAAGCAAGGGGAATCCCCCAAAGCACAGAACCCCCCCTCCCCCCTTGCAGCTGCTCTGGTGACTGGTGCCAGGACCTAGAAGCAGCTCCCAGCTCCCTGTCCTGAGCGGCAGCCACACCTGGACATTTATTTCCCCATTAGAGCTCTGTGGGCTCACTTTCTGAGATTTGAGGGTGTCCTAGAGGCGTGGCCCTGGCTGACCTTGCCCTGCCCGGTACCACAGCACCAGCCCAGAACGTGGGCCTTGGCTCTCAGATCCTCCGAGAGCCCCGACGGCTTACTGCTTCCTAAGACAGAAGTCATAACAGTCATCTCAGAGCACCAGGACGGGAAGAGACTCAGCTAAACTGTTTCTCTTTTGCAGAAACTGCAAGTCCCCTGATTTCCAATCCTTTCCCTCTCCTACAGAGTAAGTGACGGTCCCACGGGGGGCTGGAGAGGGCAAGGCAGGGCAGAAAGTGAACCCAGCGGCCACATGCTCAGGACCTTCAGGGCACCTGCCCGTTGCCCACCCCGAGGCAGACCTGGCAGCCAGCGGAGGCAGGAGGAGGGCCCAGCCCCGGGCGGGAGGGGGAGTCTGGACAGGGGACGAGGCGGAGCCCTGACCACGGGCCACCTGCCTTCTCCACCCCAGCCCTGGCAGGAACCCAGGCCTTCCCGTTGCTACTCGCAGGGGGGCAGCCTCAGGACGCCTCCTCCAAGCCCATCTCCGCCTCCCTGTGTGTCCCTTTGTCACCCCTCTTCCTCCCACATTCCCCCGTGCCGGGCACTGACCTGAGTGCCGGGGACACGAGGTGGAAGCTGAGGGTCCACCTGCGCACGAGGCCCCCTTCCTGCCTGTGCTGTCGTCCTTCCATCCCGCCCGTCCTGCCTTCCCTGTCCTCGCCTGTCCTGTGTCCTCTCGCCCTGTGCTGCCTCTCTCCACTTCCCACCTTCTCTCTTGCGTACTTCCCGCACCCTTTACTGCCCTCGGTGTCCTTACCTTGTTACTGTTTCATCTGCACATCCATTTGTTCACTGGGCAGAGGATGGGCTGTGGTGGGACGTGGTCTCTGCCCCCTTGGGGCACTTGGTCCGTTAGTGTCACCCCCTCCCCTGTCCCCAGAACGGTGCCTGGCACACAGTAAGCACTCAATAAAGGTCTGCTTGATTGAATTAGGCCCTCTCTGGTTCTGCAGGCAACTCTTCCTCTCCCCATGGCTCCTCCCTCCCCCAAGCCTCTCCCTCACTAGTCAGTGACAGGGGCAGACAGGCTGGGCCAGAGCCCCAAGCGCAGAGCCCCAGTGTGTGTCTGGGTTCCCGGATCCAGGGCTTCCAGGGCCGTTCTGCCCCTAACACAGCTGCCTCATTTCTCCCTCTCCCACCCCAGAACCCTACACCTGTGGCGCCTGTGGGATCCAGTTCCAGTTCTACAACAACCTGCTGGAGCACATGCAATCCCATGCAGGTAAGGGGACCAGCCGCCGGCCCCACCCCCAGCCCCAGGCCCCGCCCAGCCCTGGGTACCGTCCTGGCCCCACCTCCAGCCTCGCCCTGGGTGCTGCCCTTTGCCCCGCCCTGGGTGCCGCCCCAGCCCCAGCCCCACCCTGGGTGCTGCCCTAGCCCCAGCCACGCCCTGGGTGCTGCCCTAGCCCTGGTCTCAGCCCCGCCCTCAGCGCCACCCAGGTGCCACCCTAGCCCAGCCCTTGGCACCGCCCTGGGTGTCACCCTGGCCCCGCCCCAGAGCCTCCATCCTCCTCCTCAGGAAGGGGTCACAGGACCCGGGACCTGCCCTCAGGGAGCCCTGGGGCCCACGGGGGTGGGCGGGCGGGGGTGCGGCACAGGCCTGACCAAGCACAGTTAGGGCCCGGGCTGCAGAAGGCTCCGGAAGGCTGTAGCCCTGGTGCTGAGCCCTGCACCCGACGGGCGGCCAGCGGGAAGGACCGCTGCCCGGGAGGAGGGGGGTGAGGCCTGCCATCCCCGGGAGCAGGGGCGGGAGCTGGGAGCGGGAGGGCAGCCTGGGCCCCAGCCGAGGCACACTCGCCCTGATGCTGTCGGTCCCCAGGCCGGGCCCAGGCCCCACCTGGCATCGGGGTCTAGGTCGGAGGCAGGCCTGGCGCTGGCACCTCGGACCAGTCCTGGGCGCCGCGGGGGAGTCAGGCCTGCGCTGGCCGCTTGCTGTCTAGGTGACCTTGTTACCTGCCCTCCTGGCGCCTTCCAAGCTTGTGGCGTTAGCGCCCTTCTCTGAACCGTCCTGCCTTCAAAGCTGTGCCTCCCGTTCTTGGGTTTTTTTTCACAGTAGCACCCCGCTTCTGCTCCAGTTTCCGCTGTGGTCAGGCAGGCGCTCTGTGCTGTAACAGATAAACCCCAGATTCTCGGTAGCTTGACGTAATCGCTTCTCCCGTCACATCTCAGCCCGATGCAGGTGGCCTGGTTGGGTGGCCTTGGACACGGTCATTTGGGGACCACAGCTGTGTCCTCCCCGTGGCCCCTCAGAGCCTCCCTCTGTCTCGCACCGGGCGGCGGGGAGAGAGAAACACACTTCCTCCTTTTACCCCCTTTGGATCCCAAGCGACACATGTCATAGGTGTTCCGGTCCCAGGGGCGGGGAGCACACCTGTCCAGGGACAGCCTGACACTCTGCAAAGAGAAACGGGAACCTGGGGAAGGCAGCCAGCCCCCCCCCAGAGCCCCCCCGGGACAGGAACGGTGGTGGCTGCTGTATCTGGGATGGTGACCGTTGTGCCCCCTTAGGTCTGGTCTGACCTACGCTGAGTAGCGCAGGACTAGCGTCTCAGGCTGCGGACTGTTCTGTTAGCGCGACCTCTCTGCGTCCAGCGTGTCCGTGCACTTGTTCAGCACGTACTCGGGGGTGCGCCGTCCCCCGTGCTCTCTGGTGGGGGAGCTGGTATTTATTTCTAAAGGACTCCTGAGAATCAGAGCAGAGCCCGAGTGGCCGCCAGGACACGGGAGCTCCAAGCTCTGGGGTGCCTCCAGGCCGCGGGCCCGGGCAGGACACAGGCCCCCCTGCTTCTCCATCTCAAATCCCGGATGTCGGCTGCCCTCCTGCACGTCCTCACGTGCCTCCCACCTCCTGCTCGCCTTTGCCATCACCCGTTCCCTCGCCACCAAAGGCCTCGAAGGCCAGCTGAAGGCGTTCAGACGTGACGCTCTGGGAACCGGGGACAGCACACCTCTTGGACCCCGACTCCCAGCGTCCAGCACCTGCCTATCCCAGCCCAGACCCTCCACCTGCCGCTCCGCCCCCCTCCAGCGGCTTCTGGAAGCTGAGGCTAATTAAGGAAGAGTCAGTCTGGGGGCCTGTGGCTCCCCACCCCTCAGGCAGTTGGGTGGAGGCCATTAAAATGCAAATCAAGGCTGTGCCTGTGGTGGCCCCGTGGCTCCCAAGCAACCCCGACTTGTTTTCTAGGGAGAGCTTTGGGCTGCTTTGTTCTGGTCCACCGCGGGCAGAGAATGCCTCGCTGGCAATCCGGTGCAAAGCCAGCCTGAATCCCAGCCAGGCTGAGTCGGGATTAAAGGATTGACTCCACAGAGAAAAATTAGGCGTCATGATCTGTGCAGTTCACAGCGTCGCTGATAAGGGGGATCAGCCTCGAATAACACCAATCTCATTAAGAGGCTGCTGAATGGCACAGGGTAATTCCCCCTAATAAACTTCTTTTCTGGCCTGTAGGAAAATTTGTCTTGCCCCTGGTGACAGCTCCAGAGTCTGTTTTGGCAGTAACAATACCGCAGATCGCTAACGTTTAGTGAGCAATTACTACAGGTCAGACGAGGCTGTGTCATTAGATCTGCTGAACGAGCCGACGGTCTCATCCCCATCTTAGAGATGATGAAACTGAGGCTCACGGATCAGAATCACGGGCCCAGAGGTGCACAGCGCAGCTTGTACACGGCATCTAAGGTCGTGTGTGCCAGACCTGCCCTCGGAGCTGCTTCACCTCTCTGGGGCTTCAAGCTTTTCATCTGCAAAGTGGGCTAATCCGCGCTCCCACAGGCTGGGTGAGGGTCCTGGAGACGACACGTGTCAAATGTTGAGGGTCGTGGGACGTTCTCGGATACTGAGCGACAACAGGTGCCTCTTCTCCCCGTCCTCTGCCAGGAACAGCAGCTTTCTCCTTCCTGCCCTGGTCCCTCCCCGGGAGATGGCCTGGACTCTGGCTTTGCATCTGGCCCTTTGCAGACGGGGCTGTGCGTGTGCCTCTGTGGTTCTTAGGGGAAAGGCGCACTGAGTGAACTTTATTTTCGGCTCAAGCTATAAATCAAGCCTTTTCACAGGGCATTTACCGAGGACGTCACCTGTGGCAGGACCAGTATCGGTGGGATACGGAGGGGGGAAAAAAAGGTGTTTGAATCAACTGCTGCTAGACCTTGGTCTCCACCGCCTGGTTGAGTCCTCTCCATTCCTGGTCCTGCGGAAAAGCAAGAGGATGAAGGACTCCCCTGTAGCTTTCTAATGGGCTTCTTTTCGTTCATTTTATTTTTTTATTTTACTTTTTGTTTTTTTTTGAGATTTTATTTCTTGATTCATGAGAGACATAAAGAGGCAGAGAGACACAGGCAGAGGGAGAAGCAGGCTCCACGCAGGGAGCCCGATGTGGGACTCGACCCTGGGTCTCCAGGATCACGCCCTGGGCCGAAGGCAGGCGCCAAAAGCGCCAAGCCACCCAGGTGTCCCTTTTCATTCATTTAAAAACTGGATTTATGAAGGGAGAATGTGACATATGGGGAACTCACCAATTTGAAGAATGCAGTTTGATCATTTTGACAACCGGTGGTCATCTAATCACCTCTCGATCAAGATATGGGTATCATTAGCATCCGCCCCAGAAGTTCTCTCCTGCCTCTCTGTAGCCAGGCTCCTCCCCGACCCCAGCCCTGGCAGTCACTCTGCTGCTTCTTGCTGTAGTTTTGCTCTTACTGGAATTTTATAGAAATGGAATTACATGGTATTAAGTTTTTTGTGTCTGGCTTCTCTCAGGTAGCATACTTTTGGATTAACCTGTGTTCTGTGTTCCCAGTAACTCCTTTTTATTTCTGAGGAGGACATCCCCTGTTCGGGTATCCCATGATTTGTTTCTCCATGTCACCAGTGGATGGGCATTTATCTCCAGTTTGAGGCTATTAGGAACAAACCTGCTGTGAACGTCCAAGTACACGTTTTTTTGTGTGTGGACACGCGTTTTTCACTCTGTTGGGTGCGCACCTGCGAGTGGAAATTCTGGGTTACACGATAACTCGTGTTGAATTGGGAATTGCCAGATTATTTCCACCAGGAGCTTGTACCACTTTTCCTTCCCCACAGTGTGTGAGGGGTCTGATTTCTCCACGTCCATCCAAGATACTTGCTATCATTTGACTTTTTGTTACAGCCATTCTCGTGTGCACGAAATGGTATTTCATGATGGTTTTCATTTACATATTCCTGATGACTAATGACACTGAACATCTTGTCTTATGCTTATTGGCCACTTGAATATCTTCCTTGGAGAAATGTCTGTTCAGATCCTTTGGCCATTTTTTAATTTATTTTTTTCTTTTTGTTGTTGAATTGTAAGTGTTCTTTACATATTCTAGATACATGATTTGCAGATATTTTCTACCATATTGTAAGTTGTCTTTTTTGGTGTTTTCTTGATGCTGGCCTTTGAATCACAGAAGTTTTAAATTTTGGAGAAATCCATTGTTTTTTCTTTTATCGTGTGCTATGGGTATCCTTTTTTGTTTGTTTGTTTGCTTTTGGTGTTTTATCTGAGAAACCAGAGCTTTAGCTTTTACGTTTATGAATATATTTCGAGTTAATTTTTGTATGAGGTATCAAGGAAGGGGTCCTGCTTTATTCTTGTGTATGTGCATATCCAGTTGTCCCACCATCATTTTTTTAGAAGACTACCCTTTCCCCCATTAAATTGTCTTGGCACCCTTATCAAAATTCAGTTGTTTTTAAGTGTGAGGGTTTATTTCTGAAATCTCAATTCTGTTCCATTAATCTGTATGTCTTCCTGTCCTACCACACTGTCTTGATTAGTATGTAGCTTTGCAGTAGTTTTAAAATCAGGAAGTGTGAGCCCTTCAACTTTGTTCTTTTTCAAGATCATCTTGGCTACTTTGCATCTCTTGCATTTCCACATGAATTTTAGGCTCAGCTTGTCATTTTCTCTTGAAAAGCCAGCAGGGATTTTAACAGGGATTGTGTTGAATCTAAAATAATTTGGGGAGTATTGCCGTTTTGACAATATTAAATCTTCCATCTATGAACACGGATTGTCTTTCCATTTATTAAAGTCGTTTTAGAGTTCTTTCAACCACGTTTTTAGTTTTCAGTGTACAAATCTTGCTCTTTTGTAAATTTATTCCTATTTTATTATTTTGGATGCTATTATAATATGGAATTATTTTCTTAATTTAATTTTTGGGGTGTTCCTTTGCTGGTATAAAGAAATAAAA